GGTATCTGATTTTATAAAGATCAATATTTTCAAATGAACAATCTTATAATAAACAGGGACCTATTGTTTTTGAAAACAGCGGACGATGATAGCAAACCTATTAAAGAGATCTTGGTACACATTCCCATTTATTTACAGCAACTAGAGAGGTCAAATAAAAACTTAACTGAAAGGATCTGGCCCAGCTCAACCAACACTAGCTGTGTGGCACTAGCTATTTTGAGGATCAAATACTGCACAAAACAATGATATAGAACCTATAAACTGCTACGTGTAGAGTATTTCTTAGATGACCTTTAAGGTCCCTTCCAACTCTGAAATGATTCCATTATATACCTGAAACCCTAACTGGAAAGCTCAAATAAACAAAACAGTGGAGGGGAATGAAGGAGGTCGGATCACAACAATTATCACAAGGCTCACATACTATAGCAGGACAGAGCCCAACGAACATTATTAGTCAAGTGCAGTCACCACCCTTTGGAGATGTCTACCCAAATTCCTTCTCTGTAAGATTATCCTCTAGTCCCACAGAAAGGCCCATCCTTAGCAGCCATGTTTGTACTCTGTGAACTCACTCCTGTGGTCACAGCATATGGTACCAGGCATGCTCACCCACTTAAGCAAGCCTTTAAGATTCTCTCTTCTGGGAAGACAGAAGTGGGGCTAAAAAACAGCTCCAAAGCATGTGGTTGGAACTAAAAGACATGTGAAATCTGGAGTGGGAGAGTAAATACACATCTTCTGCCACGGGTACAAAGAATCAGAGAAAAACAATATATAGAGATAATATTTTACTTTATTACTTTACATCTTTTACTGTTAGAGAACCACATCTAATCAAATTCCCTACTGAGAGTCAGTTATATAAGCTTTACATATGAAGAACCACACATTAAGTTATTAAGCCCTACGTAAAACTGTTGACTAATCACTAGATTAAAATCAATGTGAAATAATTCAAAAGATTCTTTCAAAAAGATTCACTGTGTAGTGCAAGGAATCATTAAGAAAGGCTTACATGGCCAAAATTTAAAAGAACAAAAATACCAAGTGTTGGAGATGATGTGGAACAACTCACATTCATGGCTAGTGGGAATGTGTAACACGGTATAACTACTTAGGAAAATAATTCGGCAGTTTCTTTTCAGGTTAAACACACACTTCCCATACAAACCAGCCAATTCCCTCCTTAGGTATCTACCCCCCAAAACAAAAGCACATGTCCAGAAAAAGATGTGAATGTTCATAGCAGGCTTATTAATAATAGCTACACACTGAAAACCCAAATGCTTATTTCAGGAAACTAGATAAATAAAGTGTGGAATACTTCTCAGTAACACAAAGGAAAGAACTACTGATAATGCAACAACATGCATGAACCTCAAAAACATTATGTTGAGCAAAAAAGCCAGATACCAAAGAGTACATAATGTACCGCTCCACTTATATGAAGTTCCAGAATAAGCAAAACTAAGTGATGGTGACAGCAGAAGTCAGATCAATGGTCAATTGATGGTGAAGGGGCCTAACAACAAAGGCATGAATGATATACCAAAACCAATGGGATGAAACTAACGCAGTACTTGCCGGAAAATTCATAGCTGTAAGTATCTATATTAGCAGAAAAGATTTCAAATCCATAACCTAACCTTCCACCTTAAGAAATTAGAAAAATAAGGGCAAACTAAACCAACAAAAGCACAAAAAAGGAAGAAAGATTATAATGGAAATACAGGAGATAGAGAAAATTACCAAAACCAAAGTTCTTTCTTTGTAAAGATCAGCGAAACTGACATACTTTTAGCTATATTGACAAAAAAAATGACTCAAATTACTAAAATCAGGAATAAAAGAGGGATATCACTAATGACCTTAAAGAAACGATTAGAAGGGAATACCATGAACACTTTTATGACAACAAATTAGATAAACCTACATGAAATAGACAAGTTCCTAGGAAGACCAAAATGAACTCAAGGAGGAATAGAAAGTCTGAATAGACATAAAACGAAGATTGAATTGGAAATCAAAAAAAAGAGAGAGAAAGAAAGAAATCTTAAGACTAGATAATTTAACTGGTGAACTCTACCAAATATTTAAAGCAGAATTAACATGAATCCTTTACAAATTCTCCAAAAAAAAAAAAAAAACCAAAACAGAAGAGGAAACACCTCCCAACTCATTCTATGAGGCTATTATTATCCTAATACCATACCAAAACAAGACAAAAACAAGAAAAGACAAATATATACCAAAAGCCCTTATGAATACAAACAAAAAACTTTTCAACAAAATACTAGCAAACTGAAAGCAGAAATATATAAAAAGGATTATACACCAAGACCAAGTGAATTTATCCCAGGAACACAGAACAACACACGAAAATCAATGTCATATGCCATATTAAAAGAATAAAGGACAGGGGCGCCTGAGTGGCTCAGTCAGCTGAGCATCCAACTTCAGCTCAGATCATGATCTCGCTGTTCCGGAGTTCAGCCCTGCACTAGGCTCAATGCTGTCAGCACAGAGCCTGCTTGGGATCCTCTGTCCCCCTCTCTTCCTGCCCTTCCCGCACACACACACACACACACTCTCTCTCTCTCTCTTTCTCTTGAAAATGCATAAACATCTAAAAAAGGAAAACAAAACATAAAGAGAATAAAGGACAAAAAGCACATGATCATCTCAATAAAGAAAAAGTAGTTGACAAAATCCAATACCCATTCACGATAAAAACACGCAACAAACTAGGAACAGAAGGGAATTTCCTCAACCTGATAAACGCCATCCATAGAAAACCCCCAGTTAACATCATACTTAATGGTGAAATAAAGGCTGGATACTTTCCCCCTAAGACCAGGAAAAAGAAAAAGGCGTCTGCTCTTGCCAATTCTATTCGGTATTGTACTGGAGGTTCTAGCCAGAGCCATTAAGCAAAAAAAGAAGAAGGAATATAAGGCAGCCAGATTATAAAGAAAGAATTAACACTACTTTTGCAGATAACATACAATATGTAGACAACCCTAACAAATCCACAAAACTATTAGAGCCGATAAATGACTTCAACAAAGTTGCAGGATACAAGATCAGTTCACAAAAATCAGTTATATTTCAATACACTAGCAATGCACAATCCAAAAATAAAATAAACAGTTTCACTTACAATAGCATCAAGAATGAAATATTTAGGAATAAATTTAATAAAAGAAGAGTTGTACAGTGAAAACTAGAAAACATCACTGAAAGGAATTAAAGACCTAATTAAATGGAAAGACCCAATTTTCATGGATTGGAAGGCTTAACATTAAGATGGCAATACTTCCCAAATCAATCTAAAGATCCAGTACAATCCCTATCAAAAGCAGAGCAGGCATTGTTGCATAAACTGACAAGATGATTCTAAAATAAATGTGTGACTTATATATATGTGTGTGTGTGTGTATATATATACATATATCTATATATATATATATATATATAAAAATATATACGTACCATGTATCACAGATATGTCATATATATCAAATATATCCTACATATCATATATATCATAAAAATGTGATACAGATCCATACAATGGAATAGTATTCAGCAATAAACAGGAATGAAGTACTAATACATGCTATAGTGCAGATGAATCTTGACAACAGTATACTAAGTGAAATAAGCCCGACATAAAAGGTCACATATGATTCCATCTATGTGAAATGTCCAAAGTACATAAACCTACGGAGGCAGAAAGATTACTAGTTGTCAAGGTCTGGAAGGAAAGGAGGGAGTGAGGGAGGGTACAGCTAAAAGGTAGGGGGGTTCTTTGGGGAGTAATGAAAATGCCCTAAAATTGACTGTGGCAAAGGCTGCAAACTCAGTGACTACACTAAAAGCCATTAAATTGTACACTTGGATGAAATGCATGGTATATGGATTACATCTCAGTAAAGTTGTTAAATAAAAATGATACAGAACAAGTGAAAATTTCCATCTACTCAACCTTCCCCCTGTTTTGACCACTAAGAAAAGACAAATTGTATCCTTAAGAGGAAAAACTAGAATGCTAACCCCTTTGGTTCTCTTCCTTCTTTAAACAGTGTTTTTAATCTCAATTTAAAGAGCCCCCAAATTGAATACCAACCTCTGTAGCTTTATGTGCCTCTGAAGCAACTCTTTGCACTGTTGTAAAACAAATATTGAATTCCTGAATGATGGAAGGATACAAACTGTTGAAGTCCAGGAGCAAAATAAACTTATCATATAAACCTGCAATAAAAAAGTCATGTTACAAAAAGCCTTTAAGAAAAAAGGAGGTGGGGGAAGGGGGGTTACAAAAAAGCAGATGTGTCAAAACATAACATTAGAAGAACTACCGAATGTAGTATGTATATTAAATACAATATAACATTGAAAGCTGTGAGTTACACCAATAGAAAAAAGTACTCAACTATCACTCCATAAAAACAACTTGTATTAGAGTGAAAACTCAGGTCACCAAAGAGGAAAAAAGAGATCCTGTCTTACCTTGAAACCAGCTACAATGAACCTTTCCACAGCAGCCCCAAAGTACACCATTATGATGGGCAAACACCTTCTCATATCAGTTACTTTAGATAGGCGTCATATCCATTTCAAAAAAATGTTGTAAAATTCTCCTTCAAGTAAGCATCCCCTCCCACCTACCCTACTACCTCTGCCCCCAAAATATTTAGTGATCCATGTATATATATATATATATATATATATATATATATATATATATACACACACACACACATGCAGGTGTGTGTATACACATATATATATGTGTACACATATACATATGTAATGGCTGATGTAATAATATGTGTATACACATATATATATACATATACATATATATATACATAACTACTCACTGGTGTGTGTGTGTGTGTATACATACATATTTTACCATCATAAGAATAAAATGGGAAGCCCACTCACCTGTACACAAATGGTGTTAAAATCAGACAAGAGACGTATATAAATGTCAGCAGTGGAACGATCCACCCTTTTCACTTGCAAAGGGTGAACAGAAAGCTACTGATATTTCTCTAGGACATTTACAAAGAGTTATCTTCACCTTAAGAAGAAACTGAATCAAAATAAATGTCCAGTATTAAAAAAATAAACCCAACAGCAAACATATTGATAGCATACTCTGTCAAGCACTATACCAAACAATCATTTTATGGGTGACGTACAGCGAGGAGGGCACTTACTGGGATGAGCACTGGGTGTTGTATGTAAGTGATGAATCACAGGAATCTACTCCTGAAGCCAAGAGCACACTGTATACACTGTATGTTAGCTAACTTCACAATAAATTATATGCAAAAAATAAATAATCATTTTTTTCCTTAAATCCCTGTGTGGGAGATTTTTTTTTTTTTTAATTCTAGTGTAGTCAAGGGATGCCTGGGTGGCTCAGTCAGTTAAGGGTCTGACTTCAGCTCAGGTCACGATCTCGTAGTTTGTGGGTTCAGGCCGCACATCGGGCTCCATGCGGACAGCTCAGACCCTGGAGCCTGCTTCACATTCTGTCTCCTCTCTCTCTGCCCCTCCCCCACTCACGCTCTGGCTCTTTCTCAAAAAATAAACATTAAAAAAAATTTGATTCTAATGTAGTCAAAAATAAAATTCTGGGAGCACCTGGCTCAGTCAGTTGAGCAGCAGACTTCAGCCCAGGTCATGACCTCACAGTTTGTGAGTTTCAGCCCCACATTCAACGCTGTCGCAGAGTCCACTTCAGATTTTCCGTCCCTCTCTCTCTGCCCTTCCCTGCTTGCGTTCTCTCTCTCAAAAATAAACATTTAAAAAATTCTGGTGTAGTTAACATACAGTGTTGTATTAATTTCAAGGGTCTATATTTCTCCTATCTCCATTTTACAGAAGAGGAAAACAAGGCTTACAGAGGTTCAAGAGGGAGCCCAAGATCACACAGACAGAATTTAAGTCTAGATCTATCTAACACCAAAGGACTACAGATCTTTTTCAATACAACTAATAAAAATCACTTTTTTAAAAAAGCTTATTTGAGAGAGAGAGAGAGAGAGAGCAAGCACGCACAAGCAGGGGAAGGGCAGAGAGGGAATGAGAGAGAATCCCAAGTAGCCTAACAACGCAGGGCCCGACACAGGGCTAGAACCCACAAACCGTGAGATCATGACCCAAGCCGAAATCAACACTTGGAAGCTTAACTGACACAGCCACCCAGGTGCCCCAATAATAAAATCACTTTTGTCAAAAAAGTCTCCTACTCAGAGTTCAAGTTACTTGATAAAATTCACATTATTCCCATACAACGATGTAAATACACTTAACGCTACTTAACTGTACACTTAAAAATAGTTGAGGGTTAAAAAAAAAAAGATCCTGTCTAGCTCTGCATACCACCAAACATCTTCTTTGCCATTAATGACAATAAGAACTGGTTACTCTGCTGTTAAAGTTCAATGTGGTGGTTACTGTCCGTACTCCCTTTAACTTTGCCGTCCAGCCTAATGGGTCCTGGCAGCTCAGGCAGAGGCAGAGCCAGCCCTCCAGAGCAGATGGGACAAGCCACAGGTGCTCCCACCAGAAGGCAAAGGGCTCTATACTGGACTAGGGGCTAGCAAACTCTGTGCCGACCCAACTGAGCCTACCCCTTCTTTGTGTACCACTCACGAGCCAATAATAGTGTTTACATCCTTAAACGGTCAAAAAAAATTTTTTTAAACAGACTATCTCATGATATGCAAACATTACACAAAATTTAAACTTCAGTGTCCATAAACAAAGCTTTCTTGGAACGCAGCAAATAAAAAATATTCATGTTAATTCAGGTCAGGTGACCGGCAAACAAGATTTTCAAAAGAACCTAAAACAAAATAAGGTCATTACAAGACCTATTTGCTAACCTAGAAAATACAATTCAGGTCTTCTAGCTTCTCAAACCCAGGTCTGCATTAAAAATTCCTTAACACCAGGGGCAAAGCAACCTGCCGCACAGCCTTACCAGCTTTAGGGTCCAGTACCAAGCCTCCAGCATAAGCTGCTTTCTTACGTCCTTTCTTGTATTTATTGGCATCTCCATCGAGGTCTTCATCTTCATCTCCCTAATGTCAAATGGAATGACAACTTCAGCAGCCAGCAACTAATTAACTAATTAAGAAGTTTTAGGATTCCCCCTTCTCCAACCGCAGTACACGGTTCTAACAAACAACCTTCACTTTTAGCTAGTGGTCCCACCTCTGTGGAACAACAGTTACTGTAACATGCTCACAAACCCAAACAAAGGCCAAGCGTGGGAGTTGCCAAAACATTGTAGCCCTGAGTTAATAAATATGCAAATTTTACTTGAAAATGTTTCTGAATTCATAGAACCTTTTATTTTTAAATCAATGGATACTAAAAATACAACACTTCATATTCCGTAAAATCTAAGGTAGAAGAGTCTGCTTAAATTCATCACTCTAACAATCATGATGCAGAAATATAAACTATTTCATACAGATATAGTCATTATTCTAATTTGGACACTTAAAATGAGTGTGTCTGTAGACTGAAAATTCATTCCAGGTAGATTAATAACCAATCAATATGCAATACCTCAGCAGAAGTCAAACTCCTGTAAGTTAATATTCTTTATACCAATTTTGATGTGCACAAAGCAAATCCAGGAAGGTGAACCATCTTAACATTAAATTCCCCTTTTGAGTCAAATTGCTATCAGTTCTAACAAAACAGTAGCTAAGTTTTAGTTTCAATGTCAAGGAGGCCACTTCAGAAAACTGTGGTGACCTGATCCTGCTAGCACATAAAGCTGCAACAAAGCAACAAAAAATAAAGGCTCGTGCATTTAAGGAAATAAAAGGTTTAACTGGTATCTAACTTTGGATACAGCTAGGGTGGCGCAATACCTTCCTTGTATGGTCATCCATCAAAGAGGCTTAATGCTATCCTCAAAGTAGTTCATATTTCACATAAAATTTTTATCTACACAGAAAAAAAGTAAAGAAGGAAATCACCACCGAAACACAAAGGAACAAATCTGACATGGTTTTGAGAGTATACAGAGGATTCATTATTTTGGAAGCACAAGTTATCACCGTGATAAAAGCCACCTAAGTAATAAAAGGGAAGAGGATTTAAAAAAAAAAAAGCAAAACCCTATGCAATTGTGGACCCACCAGTTTTTGCTGAGGCTTTCTGAAAATCTGCTTGTCAGGCACAATATAGTTGTTTTCATAAAATGCATGAAGCAACAAGAACTCATTACGTTCGGATCGTCCGCCCATCAGAGTCCTAGACTATGAAAGAGAATGTTTTAAATTTGAGCTCAAAACCCTAGCAAATAACAAACAAAACCAACTTTGAGGTGGTAAATTTAATCATGGCACCTCTTCCACAATCATTCTTCCTAATAAGAGCTGCTTTAAAAATAAGAAGGTACAAAATTAATCCTAACGTTTTCTTTAAGCACTATAGTTAAAAAGAGACAAAGAAAGCTTAAAATACTGGCAACTTGGGCTATTTCTTTACTGCCAAATAGACCGTTCCGCAAATCAGACACATCCAGATGTTAGAGATGATCCTTATGTTCACCCAAATTTCAACATAGTCTGCACCTGGTTTTCCTCCCCTTCTCACAGCCAGTTCATTTTACAAAAGAAGCCCAGCTTTCAGAGTACAAGTTACTCATTTTATAAGCATGCATTTAGGCTCATTATCATATAACAACTACCCCAAGCAAACACTGAATCCAACAGGAAATGCTTTTTCCCCCTTTCTAAGTTAAATTTACCATAATGTTCCCGGCGATGTTAGTGATCTGCAATGCTAATGGAAGAACATTTAGCTCACACATGATCTGCAAAATGAACCTGGCATCTTTCCAGGTGTGTTCCAACAGGTACAACAGATGAGAAGATTCACTGTACAGAAAAGTAAGAATGAAACAGAATCAAGTAATTAAAGGAAACAATGACTATAATCAGGACTTCATAAAATATTACAAAAAAATTTGCTATGATTAACTTCAGAGCAATGGCACCTTGGCTTTGGAAACAATTTAAAATAAGGTTAGTATGAAACTACGAATTCATTCATGTCACTGATCCCAATGCCCTTCTCCAAAACACACACACAAAAAATCCCATAAATACAAAGTAAAGTTATGCATTAACTACAACCTGGAAACTACCCAAATCGATATATTCAATCCATCTAGTAAGTAGGTATTACACGCCGACTATGTGCCAGGCAAATAGATTCTGGCTGTAACCAGAAGACAAAAATACCCATCCTCGTGGGGCTTAGGTCTTCAAGGGGGGAGACAGAGTATAAGTTAAAATACATATAAAAGGTATGTTATATAATGTTCAGTGTTAAGGAGAAAAGATTAAGAAGCAAAGGAAATATTAAGTGTCAGGAGCAGAGAATGTAATTTTATTTAGTTAGGGGACCAGGAAAGAGGTGACTTGGACTAAAGAACTGTTTGAAGAGGTAAGGGGGCAATCCTTGCGGACGGATGTCTGAGGAGAACGGCACATTCAAAAGGTCAGAAGGACAGAGTAAAAGGCAGAGACACACACTGTAAAGGACCTTGTAAGTCACAGTAAGAACTTTGGTTTTTACTCTAAATGAAAGAGAAAGTCACCGGAAGATTTTGAGCAGAGTGCAGTATCTGACTTAACTTTAGCAAGATACCCCTGGTTCCTGGGTTGAAAACAGACAGCAAAGGGTCAAGGGCAAAATCAAAGAGACCAAAGAAGAAGCTGACATAAGACTCATTAATTCAGGGAAAGGGGAGGGTAGCTTTGACCAGGATAGGTTCAATGGAGGGGAAAAGAAGGGGTCAGATCTAGATCTATTTTGAAGACAGAGCTGACAGGACTTTGTGATGGCTCAAACATGGGATATCTATCAGAAAGAGGACCCATGGAAGCCTCAAAGGTTTTGGGCTGAAGATAACTTTGGAGGTTTCCAGTAGTACTGGAAAATTAAGAGGTGTCACTCTTAGGGAAAAACTCCAAGAGGAGCCTAGGGGAAAATATCAGGAGTTGAGCTTCTGAACAAGTTAGGGTGGAGGTTCATATTAGACATCAGGTAGAACAGTCAGGTGTATACAGGAGT